GATGCTAAATAACAATAATAACAATAATATGTTGATTAGAGCAGAAAAGGTCATGAAATGATTGATAGTTACAATCATTGGTCTGATTGTCATTCTAGACTCTTCAAGCACTTCACAGCAGCAAGCTGTGGACAAATTAGTTTTATAAAAGCACAATTTTATAACAGTAAACTATTTTTATTTGTTAAGATAAAGTTATTGTTGACAAGAAGTCAAAATAATTTGCTTCTCAAGTTATTTAAATTAATTTGTTCTTTGAAAACCAAACCTGTGCCGTTATTATGTTTGACGTATGAGCGTAACTAAAATGAAAAATCTGAAATGTGCTCAAACCTAAAGACTGGAGAACAAAATTATATTAAATGATATTGTTATAAAATGTTTACCTTTGTATTTTCATATATATTGTCTTTCAGAGCATCATGATTTTGGGGGACTTCAATGCAGATGGACGTTACCTGTCAAGTACTAAAAGGACAAACATCAGAATGAGCTCTCGTCCCTACTTTTGGTTGATAGATGAAGACGCTGACACCACTACTAGTGACCTTAATGACCATACATATGACAGGTATCTTCATATTTACTACTTTTCTTTATGTTGTTGTTGTCTTGCTCAGAGTCACACGATTTTATTTTTAGCTTAGAAAATATTTGAATATCTAAATTATTATTATTTATAACTATAAATACTTTCCTATTTTAAGATTAGGAAATCAGGGTGGGCAAGATCTGTTTCTATGCTGAAAAAACAATCACCGCCCCTCCTGCCTCACAATGGTTTCCCTGCCTACACCTCCCTAGTTCTGTTTCATTACAGTCTTAAAACAAAGAAAGTGAAATGCTTCTTGATGGCAAATTGTCATCTGCATGTTAAAAAACAGGCAAAGTCAAATGAATGCATGATTGTGACTCTATTTCCTGCCAACAGGATTGTTGTGTTTGGAAAGAGGATGAATGACGCAGTTGTTCCTGGCTCTGCAAAGCCTTTCGACTTCAAAAGAGCGTACCGCCTAAATTATGACACAGTAAGACATTTAATATTAAAAACATTTAATTCAACATGGCAATGTTTACGTGCAAACATCTCACTTCACCGCTGTTTGCCATGTATTTCTACTTGTAGACTCGATCCGTCAGTGACCACTACCCCGTGGAGGTGGAGCTTCGGGACAATTAACGTATGAAGAATAGTAGAAAAAAAGCTTTATTTTTAAATTGAGAACCTGCCTTGAAGTGAGATAGCAAACAAATTTCACCCCCAGTTTTAATCAGGAACCATGTATGTGTCTTATATGTGTAGTTATATAACGGTTCATGTTAAAATAGTTTTTGCTGTCTTTTTTTCATATTATGTGCAATTTTATGTCAAAGAAGAGTAAATGAGGCACTCTGCCTTTTAGTAAAATTAACAACTGTGTTTTTGGAGGAACTTCAAAGAAAAAAGCAGGATTGAATTGATCCCCTGGGTTTCAATCAACCAACACAATGGCAAATAAACCTTTACATCCACGCACAACTTGCTTTGTTTTTCTTTCATGTTCAATTTTATGCAATGACTGGACAAGTGGAGCATGAATTGTCAGGGTTCCTGCAGTAACCCAGTGTTTTCAGCTTGTTCAGGTTCAGTTTATTTTGTCACTCGTTCTCATTTTCTGTTGTTCTGTTCCTGTTACTTCTATGTGTCATTAGTTAGATTATGTTCAGCCATTCACTCACCGGTCTCTAATCACTAATCATTCAGTCTGTGTATTGAAGTCCCTCAGATTGATCAGTTCATTGTCGTGTCATTGTTGTTGATGTTAGGTTGTCACTGTATGCTTTGCTCATTCAGTCATTCAGTCCGTCCGTCCGTCTGTCCGTCCGTCTGTCCGTCCGTCAGCCATTTCCTGCTCCTGTTCTGTTCATTCACTCCATCTGCACTAAACACCAGCTTTCACATTGAGTCGTGCCTGTTTTGAGTCATCTCTTCCTCTCCTCCACACACGAAGCCCTGACATGAATGAGATGAAATATGGTTATCTAAGTGATTTTATAGGTTTTATTTAATCATATAGTTTTACATTTTAAATAATCATTTTGTTTATTTATTGTATTTTTGATTTGGATTGAATTTTGCAAATGTATCCAGTTACCTCATTAATGTTTCCACCCGGGGAGGGAGCCTGGCCCAGCTGCCACAGGGCAAGAAGCAGGTTACACCCTGAACAGGTCTCGACAGGGTGCCAGACAGTGGCAGGGCTACAAATGCAACTATAAATGTTATCTTTGAAGC